CACTATATTTCAATATTTTTAAGAAAAGCTCTTTATCACATGCCATAGAGGTAGCTTTAAGTTAAGATAAGTGTCTCGAGAAAATTACAGAAAGCAAAAATAAGAAATTAGCTTTTTTTTCATCAGCATAAAGAAATATCATGTTCATTCCTTTTTTGTATAATTCTTGCGCGCATTTCGTGCAATATTTCAAGACACTGCATTCATATATTTGATGAACAATCGGGACATTTCAATAATACAAAAACAGGTTTTTGTACTTCCTTCTTTCTAAATGTAAAAGGTATATTTTCCTTCTTATTAAACGCACTTTAACCCATTTTTTTAAAAATCGTTCTCTGTGTTACTAATTCATTTCGGCAAACTGAATTACATGTATATTGCCTTTTCACAACTCTATTCATTAAAATTATTTTTCATTTATAAAAGAAGTTTACATGCACTTTGAATGATATATCTATGATACAATAATGAACTGAAACCCTTTTTAGTGTAATTGTGTTGTATTTCTTAAGTGTAGAGTAACAATTTCTCAAAAAAGGGAAAAACAAGATCGTTACATCAAAATAGAAGATCAATTTTCTTATTAGTCTCCTATCAGAAAAACGGGGGCGGGCAATAGGTTTCCTCTGCGTCTTTCCGTCCGTCTGTCTGTCCCTCTGACTGTCTGTCAGTCAATCCCACTGGGTTTTCTGCACATCTTTTTTTCTAAATGCTTGCAGATATTGGGCTAATTTTTGGTATGTGAGTGTTTCGTGATGAGTTACAGATCAAGTTTGCATTTCGTTCCGCTTGAAAGATATTTGACGGAATTACGGCCTTCCAAATTTTGAAGGGTTTTCCGCATTTTCCCCATAAACACTTACAATTACTGAATTGATTTTTGGTATTTGACCTAAATTTCATGAGTTAAAGATGAGTTTCAATTTCGTTCCGCTTCAATGATTTTTGACTGAATTGTGGCATTTTAAATTTTTAATCAGATTATACTTACTTGTAGGTGATTTGTATTGCTAAATAAATGTAATAAACTCAGAATGATTGTTTATGTAGTAATATTCTGCTACCACCTGCATATGATGATTACATTTCCCAATTTTTCCGATACTCAAGATCATACTATGAGTAAGATCAGTTTGTAAACTGAGACAGGCTACTCACACATAAATTGATGTTGCAGGGCTTTCAACAACCTCTTTTGAAGTCAGCATTTCGTAAATTCTATGGTCGTTATAATAATCTTGTTAGCAAATCGTTGTTAGCCCATCATTGAAGTATTTTGGCTGATTTGTTTCATATCAATTGTTAGGTCTTTGATTTATACTGAATTTGCCTACGGAATATTCAATTCACTTCATCAATATATAGGGCTCACGGCGGACGTGACCTGTCGACAGGGAATGCTCACTCCTCCTAGGCACTTGATCCCACTCCTGGAATTTCTATGTGTTTATGCCCTTTTCATAGATTTGTATTGTTTAAAGATTTTTGAAATCGATCACTACTCGATATCATAAATATCCTTACAGAAAGATACATAGTGGGTACCAGTAAATGTTCTTCTAAGTCTATTTTCTTACTCCTCAATAGAATATTCAAGAAGTGAAGGAGAAACGTTAGGAGTATTGTACAATAGATTTGAGAAATGGTGTAAATAAGATGTAGATACTTAAAATCTAAAAGGAATTCTAAGAAAATTTGAAATCACAAAACTTTGCCAAAATCAATAACATCAAAACATACGACTTTTCAACACATTTTACAACCATTCCCCATGATAAATTAAAGTCCAGGTTTTTTTTACAACATAGACAACAGCTATTTTCAAGAAAAATGGAACTCGTAAATAAGCTAACCTTGCTATTGGTCATTAATTTGATAAAAAAAAACAAACATTCGGATTGTACACATAATTATTCTGAAGTTGATATTAAAAAGATGCTTAAGTTTCTGATTAGCAATATCTATGCAGTTTTTGGAGACTAGGTCTTCCAACAATCTGTTGGGACTCCCATGATTACCAATTGCGGCCCCTTTTTAGCAGACATATTTTTGTACTCATATGAAGCAGAATTTATCCATAAACTTCTACATGAGAATATGGAAACACTTGCTTTGGCCTGTAATTCGACATTTATATATATTGATTTAAACAATATTTTATTATGATTAAACATAACTGGATTGGACAGCAGGCACTGTCTATATAAGTCCTCTCCACATTTATATATATTGACGACGGATTATCAATTAACAATATTTATTTCCATTCATTTGTCGACTCGATTTATCCCAGTTAGCTTGAAAAAAAAAATACCACAAGGTCTGACAAATTTATTTCATATTTGGATATTTTACTAGAAAGACGCTAATGGTAACCTAACAACAAATTAAAGCTAAATGTTAAACGTGATGACTTCAACTTTTCAATCCTCAACTTCCCTTACTTATGTAGCAATATATTATTATCACCTGCATAGGGGTTTATATTTCTCAGTTGATTTTATACGCAAGAACATATTCCACGTTTGAACAATTTCTAAAACGTGGCAAGCTATTAACAAACAATTTAATGAAACATTTCTTTTAAAGTCATCATTTCGCAAATTTTATTGTCTATACAATGACCTTGTAAAGGAAATCAATCTATCATTAAGATAATTGCTGACTGACGTTTTTCATCCTAATTGTTAGACCATAATGTACCCACTGAATTGTCTTCGGATTTTTCCGTTTTCCAATGATGAATAGGAGCAAACGGCGGGTGTGACAGGTCGACAGGGGATGCTTACTCCTTCATGAAATATATGGAGATAACGAACAGTATTCAAGCTAAAAGTCCATTCAAACATAAAAATCAGGGGCAGAGCAAACACGGACCTCTAAAACATCAGAAGTGGGATCAAGTGCCTCGGAGGAGAGAACATCCCCTGCCGACCGGTCACACCTGTCGTGCGTTCCTTGTCATGATCGGGAAATAACGGAAAATTCCGTCGATAATGCAGTGTGTAAATAATGACCTTATAATTAGTATGAAAAACGTCAGTCAGCATTCGACTTAATAATAAATTGTATTTGCTGACAAGGTCATTGTATCGACCATAGAACTTACGAAACGACGCTTTAAACTAGATTGTTGATACTCTTGTTTTATCAACTTGTTTTATTAACAAAATTATTTTGTTTAAAAAACATTCCGATGTACACACTGGCACTCTGAAGATGATATATAAAAAAATGCTTGAATTTCTGATTGACAATATCTATGTTTGGAGACCAGGTCTTCCAACAATCTATTGGAATTCCCATGGGTACCAATTGCGCCCCGTTATTAGCAGACCTATTTTTGAATTCATATGAAGCAGAATTTGTTCAAACTCTTGTAGTCAAAAGAAGAAAACAGTTGTTGTGGCCTTCAACTCGACATTTAGATATACCGACGACAGACTGTCAATTAACAATGGTTATTTCCATTCATTTGTCGATATCCTAGTGAGCTTGAAATAAAAGTTACCACAAAGTCTGATACATCTGTTTCATATTTGGATATTTTACTAGAAAAAGACGTTAATGGTAATCTAACAACCAAGCTTTATGATAAACGTGATGACTTTAACTTTTCAATCGTCAACTTCCCTTACTTATGCAGCTATATACCTTCATCACCTGCATATGGGGTTTATATCTCTCATTTGATTCGATACGCAAGATCATGCTCTACGTATGAACAATTTCTAAATGGAGGTAAGTTATTGACAAACAAGTTGATGAAACAAGAATATCAGCAGTCTCGTTTAAAGTCAACATTTCGTAAGTTCTATGGTCGATACAATGACCCTGTCAGCAAATACAATTTATCATTAAGTCAAATGCTGACTTACGTTTTTCATACTAATTGTTAGGCCATTATTTACACACTGAATTGTCGACGGATTTTTCCGTTATTACCCGATCATGACAGGAGCACACGGCGGGTGTGACCGGTCGGCAGGGGATGCTCACTACTCCATTGGACCTGATCCCACCTCTGATGTTTAAGAGGTCTGTGTTTGCTCTGCTCCAAAATTTGCATTGTTTAATGGAGTATTGAGCTTGATTACTATTCGTTATCTCCATACATTTCATCAATAACTTACCTCGTTTTAGAAATTGTTTATACGTAGAGCATGTTCTTGCGTGTCGACTGAGAGATCTGAACCTGTTTGCAGCTGATAAGTGTATATTTTACTGCATAGGTAAGGGAAGTTGAAAATTGACATGCCACCTGATCCCACCTCTCATGTTTTCTGAGGTTTGTGTTTGCTCTGCTGCCGTATTGCTTAAATATTGTATTTAAACTGTATTGTTCAAATTGATTTTGAGCTTGAATACAGTTCCTTATCTCCATTTTTCACTTAACCTTTATCATTTGTATAGTAAAATTATCTTTTATGGAAATGCTATGACTTGCAAATGAATAATAAACCCTTTCTATTTGTTTTAAACGGTGACGTAATTTGGTAGTTAAATTCAAATACACAAGGACGGCATTTTGAATTAGTTCAAGTGCTTTAAAGCAAGAAGGAAATAAATATTCTATTGAATTCAACCTGAAGGAAGTAATTAAGGACATAGAAGTATATTTCTTCGTTGCTTACGAAAGATGAAAATATAATACCTGTATTTAGAATTCTGGCATATTTCTGTGTAGTTTTGAAATGGATGCCAAATATTATTACTTTTTTTTGGGTTTCATTTTAGTATTTACATTTCCTTGCCATGGACTTGGTAAGTATACTATTTAATATTATAATATTATAATAGTATATAATTATATAATAATAATATATTATTATAATATAATAATAATATATTGATATAATATTAGTCAAGAAGACAGTAAAATTGATAAATACACAATGAAAATACCTAAATTGAGCTTTATTTACTTTCCCATCTTTGAAATTCTAGTGTAGAATCTTCTTTAATATCTGCTTATTATAAAAAATATAACAGAAAATTTAGCACTGAACATGAGCACCGTGCAGAGTTCAGTTCAGTCTTCGTATGGACCTGATTTAGCTGTGGACGGTATCACAATTCAGAGGGAAGGTAGCTGTGCTCAAACGAAGTATGATCATGTAGTGTGGTGGAGAGTGGACTTAGGGGAGATAAAAGCTATCTACAACATCAAAGTCTTCTATAGGAATGACAGTAATAACAATGGTGAATAAAGGCTACGTAAATGTCTTTCTATACAAATGAATTTTAAAAAATACATAAGAGGCATAGCAAGAGAAACACAATACTTAAAAAATGATATTATATATTCTTAGTCATCCAATTTTTTTTTTAATTTTCAAAATAAAAACGAAAGTGGCATTTATCTGCTCTAAATTGTTTTCAGATTCTTTGCGTATGTCTGAGCATGCAGGGTTTTCTCTGTTCATATCAAATACGACAAAACTTAAGGATGGTTACCTATGCTATAAAAATACGGACACATTTCCACATCTTCTTTCAAAACATGTGTGTGTAGAACGGGGACGCTACGTCACGTACTATAACGAACGCGGTAACGGAGTTATCGTTCCTTTGGGATCTCGGCGTAACACAACAATTGCTGAACTTTGCGAGGTTCAGGTTTTCGGTATGTATATCTTATAACTTTAGTAATAAACAAAATTCATTTCATAGATACGAATGTTAGAGGTATTAAATTAGAAAAAAGTTGCAAATGACGGTTATGAATATATACATAAATTTCATACAGTTCTTAAGTGATGATTACAGGTCTACAATTTTAATTAATGTATTAAAGTAAGATGCTCGTAGGATACAAAAAAGGGTTTCTCTACAAAAGCAACATGTTTTCTTACTAGTTTTGAATAAGAAGAGATAAGAAAACGCTTACTGTTGGTAAAATTTCAGTTGAAGACTGCTTTCAATAATTTACTCCCAAGTGTTATGCATACTAATATTAGTATATGGCAAATATTTCTTTTCCGATCAGACTTACATTCCTTTGCTCTATTTGCATACGAATATTGCTATCCGTTGCTAAAGTGTTCGATGACAATACTTCAAAAGATAATTCCAAAATATATAAGGATTGAATTTAATAGCTACCCAGTTTATACTGTTTAAACTGGGTTTGAGCAGTTTACGTTTTATAAGCCTCAAAGAGGTGAAATTTGTAGCTTTCAAACGGTAAGTGGTGGCGTCATAATATGAGTAAAAAATTCTTCTCGGGACTATAAACAAAACAAATAAAGTCTAATATCTTAACCCTCATAATTTTTTTTTTTTAGTTTGTTAATTAATATCAAGAAACAAACTTTATCTGATAATTTTTTTTTTATGCAAATCATTATGTTGACCTAACATAATGAGTACAAAAACCTGTATCAAATGAATTTCAAATTGTTTTATTCAAAGGTACCAATGTAGAAGATTCAGCGGATGAGAACATTTGTCTCAATTCCATCGCATTCTTTGCTATTGCCGGAGTTTCTGGGTCTTTCCTTTTAATCTCTTTTGGGTTGAATATGTTTTTGTGGAGGTAAGTTTTCTCTACCAACTACCGAGAACACTACTACAAGATATACAAAGGTTAAACAAACCATTACAAGTAGCTGTTTATGTAATTGTGAAAAAGGTAATATTAATAGCAGGACTCTACATTTTTTTCGATTGCAAATGTAACTTCAATTATTTAATCATTTTAGAAAATTAAAAAAGACTCAAACATTGACTGTAAAGTCACAATTATCAAAGAAGAAAGCAACGACGTTGAAAGATTACTCGGAGCTGACTCGTAAGGAAGTGCTAAACCGATTTCGAGTACTTGTTATTTTGTACTTCAAAATTATTTTGCTGTTATCAAGATTAAGAATGCCTTATTTTTTTTACAGGATCAAATGACATGCCTCATCAGTATTCTGAAATGGGTGCAGATATTGGTCCAGCCCCTCCCATTTTCCCCTATGCTATTAGCGACCGGGTTTCTCCCCAGACTTAATATGACTTTATAAATTCTGCAATCTACATTCTAAACTAATTATTACCATTGCTTCTTGTACTTTGTACTATACTTAGTACACACGTTGCATTCTTCTGTTATGCCATCTTGATATTTCGTTCTATCAAAAATTTGTTGTTCCATAGTTCCAAGCAATTTAAGTCAGCACGATGCTGTTTTCCTTTATCAACTTTTTAAGTATTTCGAAAACTAACATAATCGATTATTAATATCAAGTCGATATACATGTGTATACAGTGAATAAGGTGGAAATAACTATCTGTGATCGATCTCAAAAATCTTTAAACAATACACATCTGTGAACAGGGCATGAAACATGGACCTCCCCCTCCCCCCCCCCCCCCCCGGAAAGGACCATTCTCTACGAGACCGTTTTGCGGCCTAAATAGCTTTAATATTTTCAGTTAGTTTTTTTTTTTTTACCTTTTTTACCTTTAAAAACTGCACGAATCAGTGGGCTAATGGTTCAATTTAATGATAAATGCTGATGGGTGTGTTTGGCAACTCCTAGATATCATAAACACCTTTAACCAACACCAAAATTTCAATGTAAACTTCGTATAAACAAAAAAAATGACTACCAGATTATGAACTTGGTAATGTACATATGTAAATAAAAACTTTTCGCTTAATTTTTATCATTATTGCAGGAAAATATAATAAATGAAAACAAAAACTATTAGCTTATGTAGATTATTTCATATCATAAACTTTCAGTTAAAGCACTTAACAAAAATTATATAAACCAAGTATTTTTACTCGAAAAATGTCAACTTCTTACCAAAAAATCTAAAATCAAAGGACTAGAAAGATTAGAATCTATGAATTTACACATAAAGACAATTCTCAATGAACCGTCTGCTAAAAATAAAGGAGGTAAATACATTTTTTTTACATACTAGAGTGTGGATATAAGTTTTTCATTAATTTTTTTATTATTATAGTTTAGTTTATTTATGCTACGTTTTTTGTATCGCATATCTGTTAGTACTAGAAATGGCTAAAGCTATCTTTGTTGTTGTGGGAATAATCATTTACTATTTGTGTTATTGACTTATTTTTCTATAGGTACACATTTAACTTTTAAAGATAGGGAATGGCTGATGGGATGGTTTTATATTGGGAATTCTCGCCCCAACCTCTCAAAGGGACCCTCATATTTTTTTCCGTACGAGTGACATAGGATCCAGGAATTTTTAATGTGTTACCTGGGTGGAGGTTGAGAGAGGACTCAATCTATTTGGATTTCAGGAAGTAATACTCATCTTTGGAAGCATTATTAGCTACAAGAAATGCTGTTCTGTCTTAAAAAAAGTAAATGCCATGGGGGAAAGAAGTTTCCTAAGGTCACATGTGATTGACAATTGAATGTTGCTTTACGCCATTTCAGAATTTTTCACCCAGATAAAGAGATTATCCGCTGTAGGTGAAGTGTCACAATGTTGATTTATGAATGGTTTCATTATTAGCTGGACCTTCTATTTTAAGGTTATATCCAAAAGACCCATGATTTTTATATTTTCCGCCTAGGAAAGCAAAGGAACAGTCACAAGCCGCCTTAAATGCCTACGTTTTTGACCCGGCACTTGGAAAGAAAATTGAACCCTTGGGCCCAAAGAGTTCAAAGCGAGCGGCAAACCCTTAGGGCCCATTTTGTACCTGGGATGTTAGTCCATAGATATACGAAAACTTTTGATATGCATAGTGGAAGGAGCTGTTTAAAATCTTCCCCGTTTTATGGAGTGCCATGAAAAGGGTACAGGGACTTGATTTGTATATAGAGATATATATTTGTATTATATTTAACATATCATTTTTTATTAAATTTATTAAATATATTGTAATTCATTCAAAATGAAATGAAATCAAAACAATTCTTACGATGTTATTTCATTTTACGTTATATAGTTTTAATACAACCGTTCTTATTGTAATATACTCAGTACTCGAATGATTATTCAACATGTACTTGCATTAATATTTCCATCCTGTACGTTTATGGATTCTTTATTTTTTGTTAATTTAGAATCTTTTATACTTATAAAAACTCAATTTTTATTCAATCACAAGCAAAAGTCCTTCAATGTTTTCAACATTTCATACAAAACTGTTATAGTTAAATAGATACTTCGAAACCACATTTCTTATATGAGCATTTCATGCGTAAAATAGGTAGCACATCTATAAAGATAATACCCAATTACAAATAAAAACTTGTATGAAATAAACTTTTAAATTAAATGATAATTATTTATTTCTAAACATCATGACCGGTCGGCAGGGGATGCTCACTCCTCCATGGCACCTGATCCCACCTCTGATGTTTGGAGGTCCGTGTTTGCTCTGCTCCTATTTTGTATTGTTTAATGGACTTTTGAGCTTGAATACTGTTCGTTATCTCCATATATTTCATCATACGGTGTGCATTTTGCAAAGATTTACATACAAGATTTGCAAAATGTGAAAGCATTAAAATTCAAGTCATAAAAAAAAATTATCTTCATTCTTAAATGAAATAATCTTTGTATTCATAATATTAGTTTGATATGTGTCCGCCATAAATGAACAATTTTTTGATAATTTACATTTAGAAACAGGCATAGAAACCTCATGTTAATAGACTACCCTCATTTTTTTCTTTCTTTGACCACTATATGTGATCTCTAAATCACGTGACTTTGTTGAAAAACAAACATCAGAATCAATAAAATAAAATGATTAAAGTTACAAAAATATCCTTTTAAAGTAATTTTATCGTAGGCCAAAAAATGATCTTTCAGCAAAGTAAAATTTGAAAATCAGCTGTTGTTAATGACTTGGATGCACGCTAAGTGATATAATTGCCATTTGATAGAAAGTTTATGTAGACTACCGTTTATCATATGGAATTATAATCAGGAGCCCTCAGAGTTTTTAGTGGGTCTACAAATGTGTCAAACATGATATGTTATTAACAAAACTCGCGTTAAATACTTGGTATACATGTCGTTGCTTTGAGAAAAGTTGACAATAACATGAGAATAGTTGACAAGGTTGCAGAGTTTGCTTGAATTTATTAATCAGGCGTTTTAACAATCAAAGCGGTATCGAGGTGTTTCTAAGGAAGTCCCATATTACTCGTAAAAACCGAAATGGTTCCTGTGTAATTATAGCCCAACTCTAACTCGACATGTTTGCAAATTTTAGACCATGGAAAATGAAGAAATTGTACATGGCAATTAATGATTTAATTTTTTAGTCGAAAGAAAAAAAAACAGTACTAAGGTGTGGATCGCCAAAGCTGAATTAACATTAAAAATAGGCACAAAAACTGTGAAAACTCGTAAATGTTCTACCAAGCCTCTTTCTTTAATCCTCGTTAAAATTTTAATAGTAGTGAAGGGGAAACCTCAGGAGTACAATACAACAATATATTCGAGAAGAGCAAGGAGTTGATCCTTACGCCGCGGCTTCGAATCCCACTGTGGGACGAGGAGACCGGTCCTTCGGATAAGACCGTATAAATCGAGGTCCCGTGTCGCAGAAGGTGCTGGCACGAAAAAGATCCCTCACTGCTCAATGGCCTTGAGTGCCGAGAATAGGTCAAAATTTGCAGCTATCCACCGGCAAGTGGTGGCGTCTCCATATGAGTGAAAAATTCTCGAGAGGTACGTAAAACAACACACAAACAAACAAATATGTTCGAGAAGTGGTGTAATGTGGATACTTAAGAACTGCAAGGAACTTATGGAAAATTTGAAATCACAAAATTTTACCACAATCAATAACATAAAAAAGTACGTCTTTTCAACACTTTATAAAACCATTCCCCACATTAAGTTAAAGTCCAGGCTTTTCGACATCATAGTCAGCTGCTTTTTCAATAAAAATGGAACTCGTAAATGTATTTACCTTGTTACTTGTCATTTACAAAATTATTTTGTTAAAAAGTGTTCTGATTATACACAAGTACTCCGAAGTTGATATAAAAAAAAATGATTGTGTTTGAATATCTTTATCTTTTTAGTTTTTGGAGATCAGGTCTTCCAACAATCTGTTGGAATTTCCATTGGCACCAATTGCGCCCCGTTATTAGCAGACCTATTTTTGTATTCATGTGAAGCAGAATTTGTTCAAAATCTTGTACGTCAAAAGAAGAAAACACTTGCTGTGACCTTCAACTCGAAATTTAGATACACCGACGACGTATTGTCAATTAACAATGGTTATTTCCATTCTTATGTCGACACGAGATATCCTGGTGAGCTTGAGATAAAAGATACCACAGAGTCTGACACATCTGTTTCATATTTGGATATTTTATAAGAAAAAGACGTTAATGATAATCTAACAACAAAGCTTTATCATAAACGTAATAACTTTAACTTTTCAATCGTCAACTTCCCTTACTTATGCAGCAATATACCCTTATCACTTGCATACAGGGTCTGTATCTCTCTCGGGATACATCTATTTCATATTATATATTTCATAGTAGTGTTGTCAACGAGTACCCGGTTAACCAGTTAATCGTTGAACGATGCG